TGCAAAGTGGGGGTGAGAATTGTGTTGGAAGAAGGGTCACAGCTATATGGTTTCTGTCCTAAGAATTACTTAGAGAAGGGTTGTGGAGCAGCAGTGGTGGCTGTTCTGTCCCCATATGAGAATGAGAGATGTAGGAGGGGTCACGCTCTGTTCCTTGATGTTGCTCAAGGAATGAGGACTGTGGATATTTAATTGCTGGCCGACAGTCATATTTGTTTGGTCTCTGACACTTATACATGTTAGTTTTCTGTGGCCTTCATGTGAAAACAAGCAGGTAGAAAGCAGCAGTGTTGACACAATGTTTAATAGACTGCTATAGCTTCTGTCCAGTTATCTGCCCCTGCTTTTTTGAATTTTTGTGGGACAGCCTGTGCATCCTGCAGTTTCAAATCATGGAAGAAAAATACGTGATTGTGAATTTACAAAGGTTATGTTCTGTTTCTTTTTCTGTACCATTCTGCTTCAACTTGTATACCTGATGGTTACCAAAAGGAGTGACTTATACCCTTTCTTCTATGCAGATTCTGAATGGAATATTTTGTTGAAGAAACAGTGTACATTTTAATTACTCTTGAAAAAAAGAAAAAAGAAAACCCAAACACAAGAGTTATATAAGTTTGATTTATAATTTGGGAAGACTGAAAAAGGCCTTATGAAGGCCTGTCTGCACTGAGGTTGTTTACAGGGTAAGGTTCACACCTGAATTAGAGTCAGCTGGTGCTCAGTACAGTCGTCACTTTGAGTTGCTGTATAGCTTCAGTAACATGCACTGTAGAAAATACTACAGTTACTCAGCAGCATTGCAATGAAATAGATACACTGATGTCATTCTCTTTTCACCCATTAAGCAATTGGACAAACTGCAAGTGAATAGACGTGATTTCTATCCGTGTGCTTGGTCCTCTGGACCACACGTCTTCCCCTTGCTGACAAAGATAATGCCACCTATTTGAAGACAGGCGTATTTAAAACCCAAGATGAATTGAGCACATTTACTGTGTTAGAAGCAGTTGCTAAATTGTAAGTAACTAAGTCTTGTTGTATAACTGCATTGCACTCAAGGGAACAATTTAGATTTTGAATTGTATATGTTGGTAAGTGAAAACTATGTAGACATTGATTATTTTTTTTCTCCTTGACCTAATCACTGTTTGCCTATGGCAATATCTGATATGTTATGTGTTCACCAAGAATTGTCTTGGGACTACAATGAGGCTTTTTTTTAGCTTCATTAGTAATCATAGTTACATTAGGAATAGGAGGCCATGGAGTAATATACTTGTACTGTACTGCATCCGTTTTTCTGTTTATTGTAAAGGTGGAGGTGATCTCTGTAGGTGGGAGTTTGGGTTTGTGTAGACAGAGGAGGGAGACCAGATTTGAATCTTTGTTATTTTCATCAAGAATTTAATTTAAAAAAAATCGAAGGCAAATGCATATTTAGTTTTTTTTTTTTAATGTGCTGTGAAAAAATCCTTTCTTTGTCTCCTTATGTATTTGTAGTCTAGTGATAGAACTTTTCATGGTAATACTAGAGAATGTAAAAATGATGCTGAGTAAAATAAAATCTAGTAATGTGTTTTTCATTGTCTGAATTGAACAAGCTGCCAAAAGTAAATGATATAAATAGTGAGAAGAATGTTTTCTTTTCTCCCCCACCCTGGGAATCTGATGTGTATCACCCTTTAAACAAAAACTAAAAATTCCAACAGAGTACCTTAGGAAATGTGTTTAACCTTTTTGACATACTGTTGATTCCTTCAAATGGTCATTTTGTTTGTGTGCTAAATAGTTGCTTGTAGTGTAAGGGATTATGTAAAAAAGTGTAAAAGATTGAACTTTCACCTTCTACCTAGAGGTCATGTAGCTAGACACGTGACGCTCTGCTTGTTCAATAGTATTAGCAGTTAAAAAATGCCCACATGAATACTTGCGTATTTGCATGCATAAGAGGCCAAACTGTGGCCTACCTAAATATAGACTTGCAGTTTGATATTTCTGAGAACTAATTCTAGCACAAAACACCTTTTCCTCCATTGACTTGTCTCCTATATGCATTTTTTCCAGCTATTCAGCTGACAGCAGTTTTTATTTTAGCTTAAAGCATTCCTTTTGCATTATCTTTTAATATAGGTGCTTGTACTATGCTTTAGTTCTCAAAATATACGTGATGGAGCGTTGCCTTTCTTCCTCTTGAACAGCAGTGACTCATGAAACTGGACTTCAAGGCTGCACGTGGAAGTGTGTGCTGTTGTTGCAGTGAGAGTAGTTCTCAATTTGTAAGATCTGTTAACTAGAAAACGAGTGTGTAAAGAGACATTCAGCTTTGGAAGTATGACAGGTCAATATTGCTTTGAAAAGGTGGTTATCAAGAAATAGGGTGATGCTTCTGATGTTTGTATCCACATGAGGGAGACAGTGTGACAGGCTCGTTTGCCCTAATTGGTGGCAAAACGTGCCAACCTGAAGCACAGCATTGGAGAAATCACTGCATGCACTAGCTGTCTGGTACCAGCTCCTTCTGCCATTAACTGATATGCCTGTACAGATTCTATTTTCCCCTATTAGACGTAACTGAGATGGAGACTTCTGAATTGTAAACAAAGCCATCCAACATGTCTTCTCGACTTTTTCTTTAAAACAAACAAAACCTTAATGTCATCATGGCTTTCTCTAATCTTTGGAATTCTGCCCTAATATCTAAAATAATATCTTAGTCTGTAGAAAACACTGTTAACTCAGTGTTTTGTTGCTCAGCCTTTATGGAAATGTTACTGAAGGTGGCCAAGAGAGTCAGTCAGCTATAAATGCAAGTCTATTAGAACATCTGACTTCAGTATGGTAGACGTTTCTTCGTTAGTTTGAAAACATTCATTCCTCATAGCTTATTGGGGGTCATATGCTACTAGGAAGTTTTGTAGTGATGAGAGGCTTTTCTCAAAAACCAACCACTTTTGTTCAGGGCAGCTGCTGGAGGATCTGGAAGCTTGCCTGACGATACCTAACGTTACCCATAGGTAGCATTTACTAGCAAAGTGTTTGGAACTTACAACATTTTCCCGTGTTGTGTTCAACAGTATTGTGAAGAACCAGTTAGAAGGAAGACTTATTGCTGCTTTAGAAGTTTATATGGACCAATTGTAATTAAATCATTTACAGCAACGTCCCATATTTAATTACTTATTGGTATTATTGTCCCCCTTTCAACCTTTTAGGGGCTTAATTAAAATTAGCTGATACATGCATAAAGATCACTTTCATAGTTTAGCTAAAACCATGGCCAGTAATCTATTTCCTGATTTTTATTTGCTGTAGTAGTGTTGAAATATTATATTTTGTTTTGAAGACAAGCCCCCATTGTTTATGAAATGGCTGACTGGGTTGGTAGATGAGGGGAGACAAGACAATCTAAATTTTTTTCTGATAACCAAGATCAACAATCTGGTTTTGTAAATTTATAAATTTTTATTTCAGCTTCTCAAGGTGAAGGAACGTAAATATTTAAGCAACTTTATTCTTTCAGAGTTGACTTGGGATCTCCTGCTTTGCTTAAGCATGAAACAGATAAACTACCTTTTGTCCTGATCTTTTACAGACATAATCATGCTGTTCCCAAGTACAACTGAAGTTTAAGTTGTTTGGATACAACTGAAAACACTGTAACTTTTTTTGTTTGCTTGTAGTTTGAAGTAATTGGAAGAATACTGTGGGACAACTCTTTAACGTGCTTTAATCAAGTTTTTAACTGTTTCTCAGGAGTGTTCCAAAAATAATACCAAGCATATCTAAATGTGTGGTAGAAAAGAATAAGCTGTGGTTTATCCCAAATGCATGGTCTGGAGGTACTAATTTCTTGATGTTGTCATGGACTCAATCCCTAATTTTTAAAAGATTTATTTACTTCGCATTTTTGCATGTATTTCATATAATTCTATTAAGTCTGCATCTCAAGAATTTAATGTTTCTTTGTGCTTAGAATAGATATTTAGTCACTGTATCTTCCTTCCTTTAACCAAGAGTTAAAAATAAGCCTATAAAACAATGGCAATATGAAACAACTCATTGGCAGTATTCAAGCTGGAAGCAAGCTGGTACTTAAGCAGAGGAATTCTGCTTTAGTGTGCACACACCTTAGAAGCAGCTGTTGGAAAATTTAAAAATGAAAAAATGCATATGTGTTTTTTTCAGGAGAAATCTTCCCTGTGAGTGATAGAAGCGCATTTCTTTGACAGACGAGAGACTATGGAAACTTTGGTCTTGCGTTAGGGGATAATGCCACCTTAAAATATGATTTCAAAGCTGAATTTTTTCACATTCTGCATTTTCCCCCACTTTATCCTTTTCCTCTTCCCTTCCTCCAGTCTCTCTTTAATATTCACTCCTGGCCCAAGGTTGTATACAGCATTATTACAGCCTGGTGTTGTAAAACTGAAAATTTTAAAATGAAAATAATGATTTGTAATAAAAAGCCTGACAGACTAATTACAGTATTGCATTAATTATTATCTTATTCCAGCTCTGTTCCTCTCATAGCTAATTCAGATCTGGGTTTTGGTGGTTTTTAATCCCTATTGACACTGTAATTTTGAGAGAATATACAGGGGAACAATATATATAAAATCAAGAAATAAAAATTGTCAGGTAAACAGTTGATTTCTAAAATGTTGCCTTGGACATGTTAATAATAGAATGCGAGTATTTCTGTTTAAATGTGAAGCTTTGTGAATCTTCTGATGAGCGTTGCAGCTATATACTATATAATACAACTCTCAAAACCTAACATTTCTGGGTATCTTTATAGCGTGTGCTAATAGCAGTCATTAATTCAGAAATTTGTGCATTGTGCAGCTAAGTTGGTGCACCGTTGATGCGGTTTTATTTTTTCCTCCCAAAATGTGTGCAATTCTTATCATGATTAAGGTATAGATTGATGTCAGTGCTCCAGTATAGCTTCAAGACTGCAGTTTGAAGCTACTTAAGAAAAATACAGTTCTTCAGACATGGTGAAGCTGGAGTTGAGTGGAAGTCCTATTAGTGGTGAATTACATGTAATATCAATAAGGGAAGAGTTCGTAGCAAGTCCGCAGTTTGAGAAATTGAGCACGGTAATGACCTCTATCTTGAAGATACACAGATACAATAATTTTTGGTGTTCATTTGAACTTTTGAATGATACAGAAGGTGCACAGGTTAGTTTTTAAGCAAGAAAGTGTTTGGAAGTTTCAGCAAATATCATTGTAACGGATGTATGGTAACGAAGGAAGCCAAGGTGAAAGATGAATTGGGCTGAATGACTGTTCAGCCATTTAGGCTGGACTAGTTGCACATTTTGGTTGTTAGACATCTCAGGTTACATTGCCTTAGTTCCTGGTTGTCTGTCTTCACATCTTAAGAGTTCTGGGAATTAGTTTCTGACAGTTTGCTTTGTTTTCCTTTTTCAGGATGCTTCGTCTGCAGACATTCGGAAAGCATATCGAAAGCTTTCGCTGATTTTACACCCAGACAAGAATAAAGATGAAAATGCAGAAACACAGTTTAGGCAAGTAAGTGCAATGTGTGGCAATAAGAGTTTTAGGGAAAGTAGAATCATAATTTTTTATGATGTTATTTTAGTAAGAACAGTGATACACCTTTGAAATTACTTTTGAACGTTGAACTAAATTTTTCCTGATGTAGCTAGATTAAAAACCAGTACAGTTTTTCAGAATTGTTGAATAACTCAGACTTAGTATTTACCTGTATATTAAAGTAATTTGAACATAATACTTAGACTTACACTCTTAGGAGGAAAATATGTTTTGCCCTTTATGTAAGACTGTTTATAAATAGTCTTTTCAAAAGCAGTAGAGAAAATTTCTGATCAGTTCTCAATGCAAGTCATATGTAGGCATAACTTAATGAAAAGAACTCATTTTGGTTTTTGGATTTTTGCCTTTTGAATCTTTACAGAGTGAAACCACAAAACTGTTGTAATTAGCTTTACCTTTAAAAATATATGTCTGATGACTGAATACAGGCTACTTAATTTCAGTAAGATTTTTAGGTTTAAACAAATGATACCTTTTATTTTTAAGGTGTAACCAAGACAAGACTCGGTTTGCCAGGTGTGAGGAGGGAAAAAAAAAAAGTCTTTTGCAGGAGTTGCCTGTTTGTGTATCTGATGAGACTTTGTATATGAATATGGCACTGTTTCTTTTGCCTGTTGAGTTTGCTTCTTAGTGTTG